CTTAACAGGTATGAATTCCCCAGTAATTATGACCGAGGACCAAGTTAAGCAGGTACATTTCATGATGAACCAATCGGTCATAATATAAATTTTGTTGGAGTTACGAGGCGCATGTTTTGCTTGAAATCAGCTTCAGAGTTAAATGTTTCCTGAAGTAAATTTGTGGGTTACTGTGATACTCATAGACTAATCCGTAATCATTATGGGCGTTGTCCAAGGCTCTGTGATGTCATTCTTGCAATTCAGCATCTTCGATGATTCCAACTGTGCAGACGGCCTGGTCGTTTGCTTGAAGTATCTGAGCGCTGTTATATTACTCTGTTCTGTTAAATCTATGTGGATAATTAAGCTTTGTGGTAGCATTTGGTATCCGCACGTAATACATCGCTGGTGATGAACAATGAATTGCTCTAGCAAATAAGATAATGCACGATACATAGATTGGCTTAAACACGGGCAGTTACTCATTATACCCCCGTCATGCAATTGAGAGTATGGGGTGATGTAATACGCTATGAAATTCGATTCTGATGGAGCCATTTGTCGATATGACCCAACGGCTATGATACGCTTCAGTCGCTGCTCGTATTTCACAATCAAGCCGGAAGGTTCAATGTGAAAAAAAGCAATCGATCGTTCAACCTCAGAACTCATCTTTCTTTGTAAAACAATTTCAATCATCGAAATAATTTGTGGATATCGAAAAGTTAGTTAAGGCCGCTTCTTGTTCTATGCCTGGAATAGTAAAATCTATGGTCAAGGGGTGCGCTGGCTGGATAATGGTTCTGCGAAACGCCATACGCTACCACGTGCTCAGTCTTTCTGGCATTCTTACGATGGGCAATTGCTTTGTATGCTAGAGTGCAAATGCAGCACTCGGCATGAATACTCTCTTATAAACTGCTAATCCCCTTGAGCAAGGAATTCGCCCCCTTGTGTTCCGGTGCAACCAGCCGAAAAACTGGTATGAGATCGTTTAGCTGCAAATAATATGGACAGTATAGTGTTTTGGAGTGGTCATGTCAATGCATGCGAGGCATACGACAATGATATCTGATGAGTGTGCTTTAGCCTTGACTCACTTGATAGCTTACTAAAAATCAACAAGGAGTTTAAGTAATTTCATTTTGATTTAACGCTTGCCTGTAGCTTCAATACGCAAACATTCTTCGATGTAGGAACCAGCGTGAGACGGGTAATATTTTACATAAAGAAATCATCACCATGGTATTAGAAATATTGTCTATGGTTTAACTGCGTGCAACAATCGAAAACATGCTTTGCTTTGGCGATATGGCATAAACATCTAAAATACCTCCAACCAGGAATCAATTCCGCTAGCTGTGTGCCGTATGAAAGTCTCCAGACAAGACGTATTTACCCTTTTCGTTATATATTTATCAGACCAGAAGAGGTGGGGATGGGTTTCACATTCAGAAACTCGTACCTCAATTCTTGCTTGGCTTTTCGTTTTCGCTTTTGATATTTAGCGGTTTCTTTCTCTGTAATCCCTCATAATGGGCTTCCGCTCCTCATGTACTTGTTCCAGAACAACTTACTGCGGTTTTACTGCCAAAAGCAAACTGTCTCAAATTAAGCAATATCTCCAGCGGTGTTCGTCAAGCGCTCTCTAGTCCGCTATTGAACATTTTGCGCATTACGCAATTCAGAGGAATCTTATCCTCGAGGACATGGAGGGAGAACGCGTCAGCAGTTATGTAGCCATGCGTGCCCTGCGGAGTTCTAACGAACCTCGAATGCGCGAATGGCATCGTGCTGCCTAACAATTTCGCAAGTGGTCTACTGACACGGAGGCAAATGCAATGCGGTTGAGGAAGTTGAGCTACACGTGAATGCCAAGGATGCAAGGACTGTGATAGCGCCTGTGGTTATTGATAACCGAAAAATAATACCGGTTAAGACAACTCGAAACAATGTTGACCAATGAAAGTGAAACTGGTTAGGACGTTGGCCCGGCGCTAGAACTGGCCTTGGCGAACGTCTTCAGGCTGCATGCCTTGGAAAAAGTTCAAATCATAAGAAGGACGAAGAGCATCTCGAGTATTTATGTACAGTCTAGAAACGACATGAAGTAGAGCTTAGCGGCTTTCAGCAGCGCCATCTACGAAGTATCCTCGAAGTGCGGATTTATCACTGGATATGGGTTTTTTGGATTTTGTATTTGGGTCATTTGAATGGGATTTTACCATTGAATCGTAAGCGTTGAGGCACCGCTGACTAGCGCTCTGAGAAAACCACCAGATGAACTAAGAGACGTTGCATGACCTGGTTTGATAAAACGGCTCAGTAAGAAACTGGAAGTATTTTAGAAACTTTTTTCGCGTTGGAACAGTTCACTAGGCGCAAACGTATCGAAGCACAGTTCGAAACTTTACAATACCTCTCTGAGGCAGATCAGCATGTAACAAGAAATATGACCTTAGCTGCTGCGATCTGAGATTCCATCTATAACTCTTAGCCATCATTAATGTGGATTACTGTGCCATTCAGGTACTGTTAGCTCTGTGTGACGATAACGGCAACAACGTTGCGCTAAACGGAACTTAAGTACTGCCGTCGTCGTATTTTGAGTGCTCAAGCACTCGATGGTCTGCACTGATGGCAGAAAACGGGCCGATGGAGATTGGCAAAAATTTCTGGATACAAATGGGCAGGCAGTGTACCTGCCTTCTGCGTATGAAAACGAAAGAGATTTTCAAGAGACGCGTTCGTCTACGGTACGGTATTGGGACGCTGTTGAAAATGGTCTTCCGAATGGCCGGCCGCGCCGACGTGTCTCCTTCGTGACGTCCTTGACTGCATTTCAACGCCATTAATTAACGCATTATTAACGCTATTAATCATGCTTCACGAGTACGACAATCGATCGGCTAAGTCCACATGCTATACAACGAAACAACACTAACAACAGAAACATCTTACCGCGGTACGATTGCCATGGCTTACACGATGATAGACTCGCTTTTGCACAGTTCGACGTTCGACGATGTCACTCGGGTTTCGAACAACTGGAAATATGGTCGCAGTCGGTCGAAACTGGGCCAAGCTGCAACTGCAGTTGCTGCACTGAGAACTCGGCAGCGAAGTGAGTCCGGTCGGTTGGTGCGTGCCTTACACATTCGGCTGGTATGTTTCGTGGCCAGTTTTTGGGCAGCACGAATAAATCACAGAAAATCCTGACCAAGGCGTCATCGCCCAGTCGCAAATCCAGTCCAGCTGTCTTATGATGTTCGTTCACCGATAAGATGGCGCCTGGGCTGATCTCGGCCGGGTTCACAATGGCTACGAGCATCAGCTGGAACAAGGACCTCATTGTGTGCATCAGTGAGTGCATAGGCTCGGCCCCCAGGCGACTGGCTAATTATCGTGTGCTGTATGTTCATCTCCAGATTGAGAAGTCACAGCTGCGATGGCTTGGGCATGTGTTGCGAATGCCTCCAGAAAGGAAGGCTAAGCAACTGTTCCCTTCAAATCTGACCGGCAGAAGACTCAGGGGACTGCCAAGATCAACCTGGTGCAATCTGTTCCAGACTCCAGTTGTCTTTTGCCGAAGCTCAGACTGTGGCACAGGATCGGGAACGTTGGAAGCTTCGTCTGGCGTGTCTGCCTCCACGATCCGAAATGAGAAGCGGTGATGGAAGATGAAGATGAAGATGTATGTTCATGTTTTCAAAAGATGAGGCGGCCATTTGATGACAGACCGCGCCTAAACGAGACAAGCCTCCGGACGACGTAACCTCGCTCTCACACTGACAAAATTTCCAATCTTCATAAACAACGCCTGTTGTTATTTCCTGTTGCTTTGGTTTATCAGTTTCCTCAATGTTAAAGCCACGTTTGACTCGAAACACCGTTGACCGAAACACCATCATATGGAATTCCTGACCAGATTGATTAAACTTCGGAAGAGGTGCATGCAAGAATCATGCTTGTGGTAAAAATCAAACAAGAGCTGTCTGTGTGGTTACCCATCAACCGCGGAGTTCGCCAAGGTCATGTACTTTCGCCTTTACTATTCAACATTGTTCTCGACTTTTTCC